TTTGACACCCCTGGTCTATGGTTTTGCAACTTTCTACAAGTTTGTCCATCGAGTGCCCCCGTAGCAAATGTCTGGGACGTAGGATGTAGGTGGTGGTCTGCCATATTGTCTCTGATACAGCAGAAATCATACACTGGCACGGGCGCACCGGTGAAGGAGGGAGGCGAGGACTCTTAGTTTGCAGAAACCCTCATTATTTGGAAGCATTTCGGTCGTAGAACTGATCAAGGGGGTAAATACCAGCCAATTTTTGTGTTCACTGTTGATTTACCAAAAACAGCTTTTCTGTTGGAACTGGCGAGTTCTAATGTTAGCCATGCTAAGGTTAGCAGGCTATTAGACAGGGCCTGCCCAGAGCCCATAAGTTAACGAAACCTCAATACACAGAAAGCAGGACCGGTCTTGGATTTAACGAACTAGATCAAGTGCTTGAACTATCGATAAACACAATATCCACCGCATTACATTTGAAAACACTACATTTCTTCAGGCTTAATACGTAAGTCGCTATAACGTTGACTTACCGAATGTCGAATTCAAACGAGATTATCTAATTGAAAGATAACATGACACTAGTCCACGTTACCGTTATATCTAGTGTTGCGGTTTTCGGTGAAAGGTGGTATGCGAGCCTTGTGCAAAAGGTTAATTCAATTTGGCAATACTTAAATGTGCTAGAGGACTACTTAACTCCTCCATCTAGCTAAAGTTAGCGGGATTTCTATTGAACCCATGAGTTTATCCGGTGTTCCACCGGTTCACCTGAAAAAAAGGTCCCCGGTGCATAATTCTTTGTTGATTATAAGTGAGGGACGATTCATTTCTTAAAGTTAAGTTAAATTTAGGAATATATGCGTAAAGGTACATTCGGAATGTTTTTGTATTTACCTTATGTGGAAGACTGTGTCAATCACGTGTGAAAGAGAGAGCTAACGGTTTTTTTAATCCCCAATGGTGAGCAAGCCCTACCTAACGAAGGGCCATAAGCTGAAGTGATAACATCCAGTTGGCGTTATATACATTATGTTGCTTTTACTTGTTTGCCTGACATGCGTAAGACCTTGAGTGACATCCCATTATTATTATTATTATTATTATGGTTTCAACTCTAATGGAAAAGGTTTTCACAAGTTTAGGACTGTTTATGAGAATTTGTGACCATTGTTCCAGAAGTGCATTTGTGAGGTCAGACACTGATGCTGGACATGAAGTGCTGGCAAAGTTTGAGGCCAATCAAGTTCTTCTACACCAACTTAACTCATCCATGTCTTTATGGACTGTGTGCACTAGTGTGCAGTCATGTTGGAACAGGAATAGGCCATCTCCAAACTGTTCCCATAAAGTTGGGAGCATGAAATTTTTAAAAATGTCTTTTTATACTAAAGTGTTAAGAGTTCCTTTCACTGGAACTAATGGACTCATGAAAAACAACCCCACATCATAATTCCCCTCCAACGAATTTCACATTCGGCACAGTGCAGTACAATTCTGGCAACCACCAACCCTAGACTTTTCCATTGAATTGCCAAACAGGGAAGTGTGATTTGTCACTCCATGTCCAGTGGAGCTTAATGCTTTACAGCGCTGTCTCCAATAATTTACATTGTGTTTGGTGATGTAAAGCTTGGTGAAGCTGTTTGACCATAGAAACCCATCCCATGAAGTAGGGGTGGGCGGTATAAATGGTATATGGTAGAAACTATATGAATTTGGCCAATGGTAGAGATTTTGACTATACCACTCTACCGTGATAGCGCATGTTGATGGTGTCATCAAGCTGCACCTGTTTTGGTCGAAAGCATTGCAGCGGCTGCAAGCAATATCATCTGCAAATTAC